TCCGTGTGCCGCCAGGAGCCCGGAGTGCGATCCTCACCTATCCGTTCCATCCGTGTGCCGCCAGGAGCCCGGAGTGCGATCCTCACCTATCCGTTCCATCCGTGTGCCGCCAGGAGCCCGGAGTGTGTGCCGCCAGGAGATGCGATCCTCACCTATCCGTTCCATCCGTGTGCCGCCAGGAGCCCGGAGTGCGATCCTCACCTATCCGTTCCATCTGTGTGTGCCGCCAGGCGCCCGGAGTGCGATCCTCACCTATCCGTTCCATCCGTGTGCCGCCAGGAGCCCGGAGTGCGATCCTCACCTATCCGTTCCATCCGGAGTGTGCCGCCAGGAGCCCGGAGTGCAGCTTTAATATGAAGTAAATTATTATTGTAACAATAAATCCATAAATTAAATGAAATTGTTTTATAAATGACGAGACGCCGATCTGCCGCTTCTGTACGCCGTGATCTGAAGTGACACCTCAGCCGCTCGGTGACACTTGGCTGCGACACCCGACTGAAAATTCATTATTTACACAGCAATTTCGATGCGACAGATAAACAGGCGCCGCGTCCGGACAGAACAATTAAAACTGATGGTCTATTAGCGTGAGAGAAGGTCGGCGGGATTGGACGGGAAGCGGCTGTAATGATCTCCATCGGGGTTAATAGGGGGTCTGGGTGCGTCCTCGCCGCGCAATGACTGCAGACGCCGGATCACCAACAGAATACATGGAATACCTGGCGCTGGCCAATCGGATTGTGTGACGCCGCGACGCACCAACGCACCAATCTGAAGGGGCTGATTAGTATGGAAGTTGCTTGGAAATAAAATCTGCTCTTTATTTTGGGGGCGTTTTTGGGGTGTATTTAGGGTAGTTCATTCCGGGGCCATTCACACTACGTGGTCCAACGCATGGCGATGCACCCCTGTGCCGTGTGTTACCGTGCTATTCAGGGGCGGACTGACAACTCATGGGGCCCCCGGGCAATAGGGGATCATGGGGCCCCTGTGTCCTTGCCCAAACTCAAAAAAGCCTATGAAAAAGGTACCAGGGGCATCTCATGGGGCCCCCCTACTGACCCCGGGCCCTCGGGCAGTGCCCGAGTTTCCAAATGGTCAGTCCGCCCTGGTGCTATTCATTGTCAGTGGCACCGCATCGTGGAGGAAAAATGCTGCACCACCCTTTTTTTTAACAATGCAGCAAACCACAACGCATGACGCAACGCGTGACGCAACACGTGACGCAACGCGTGACGCAACGCATGGTGCATGCAGAGTGGTGTGCTGCAGTACATCGGCCTCTACTGTACGCTGCATTGGGGGTGATGAGTTTTGTACTGGAAGTGTGGATGGGCCATGAAAGAAATAAATGATCCTAAATACTCCCCTCCCCCACCACAAAAACAATACTCATCATACTAATCAGCTTGCAGAGTAACTCCGCCTTTGTTGAGAACACCCCGCCCCCTCTGGGTGGTCTCTGTACATTGCAGACATTGTAACAAACTTTTGTAGCAGATTCTGACCTTTCGCTGCTCTGAAGAAACAGCTGATTGTATCACCGTGTCCTGATTCCGAATGGGAGGGGTTTCATTCCTGAATGGGAGGGGTCTAAGGTTTGTGAATGGGAGGGTCTGATTCCTTTATGGGAGTGGTCTGAGGATTGTGAATGGGAGGGTCTGATTCCTTTATGGGAGTGGTCTGAGGATTGTGCATGGGAGGGTCTGATTCCTCAATGGGAGGGGTCCGAGGATTGTGACTATGAAGGGAATAAGAAGAGAGCCTTCTCCCGTGTGATCATGGGGCCCGAGACAGAAGATGGCGTCTACCACTGGCTTACCATAGAGCAGAATGAGGATTGAAATGTTCCCAATCATCCCTATGGTGTCATCTCTATGGTGTCATCTCTATGGTATCATCTGTATGGTGTCATCTCTATGGTATCATCTCTATGGTGTCATCTCTATGGTATCATCTGCATGTATCATCTCTATGGTGTCATCTCTATGGTGTCATCTCAATGATGTCATCTCTATGGTGTCATCTCAATGGTATCATCTCTATGGTGTCATCTCAATGGTATCATCTCAATGGTGTCATCTCTATGGTGTCATCTCTATGGTGTCATCTGTGTGGTGTCATCTCTATGGTATCATCTCAATGGTGTCATCTCTATGGTGTCATCTCTATGGTGGTGACAAATATTTGCCAGTTCCGGTTTCTCCAGATGACAACAAAGCCATTTTTGGCTTGGGAAAGCATATGGGGACACCAGTCCTGGTATGATCATGTGTGCTATTAAGGGCAGAGGAGAGATCTGGGGTCCAATAGACCCCGGCTCTCTCAGTAAAGAGGACCTGTCACTGCCTATGGCTGTCACAAGGGAGGTTTACATAACAAAAATTAAAGAGACAGCTTAAAAAAAAGAAAAAAAAAGTTTTTGTAATCTCCCCATCCCCCGTGCTCACTCGCGAAGGGAAACGCAGACATAGGTCGCACACTCATGTAAACGCTGTTCGCACCACATGTGAGGTATCGCCGCGAGCAATAACTCCGGCACCAGACCTCCTGTGACGCTGAACTCTGCTAACCTGGAAAAGCTTTGCTGGGATTGAACTTAGACTGCAGAATGCTGGGAAATGTAGTCTGGGCAGAGAGTCATTATCATGGTGGGGAACTACAAGTACCCAAGAGGACCTGAGAGCAGGGGGGTGGGCAGGAAGGGGGTATGAAGAGGGGGGAGTTGGAGAGAGCCGCCATCTGGGAAGCTGCTGCAGAGAGGCGCTGTTTGTGATTGGCTGAAGAAGGAGCTGACGGGTTGATCCCAAGCTGAGTGCTGCTGTATCCTGGCACAGACTGCTGGACTGAGCTACATGAAGCCACTGTCAGCTGCTAGCCTGAATCGCCAACCAGTGACCCAAGTCCCCGCCTCCCACGTCTGCTGCAGGTACAAGGGAGGAGTCCCGCTGCTACTGTATCCATCATCTTTCCCACCAGACAGATAAAGAGATCAAAGGGGGTCTTTCTCCAATGTCTTGGCTAGTCGCTGATGGACATCCCATGGATGGAGATCGGTGGGAGAGTCCCAGACCCAAAGTCAAGCTGGAATACTGACATTGTTTATACTCTTTACTTGGAAGAAGCAGGGGCGGACTGACAACTCATGGGGCCCCCCGGGCAATAGGGGATCATGGGGCCCCTGTGTCCTCGCCCAAACTCAAACCACACCCAAAAAAGCCTATGAAAGGAACCAGGGGCATCTCATGGGGCCCCTTACTGACCCCAAGCCCTGGGCAGTGCTCGAGTTTCCGAATGGTCAGTCCACCCCTGGCAAGAAGTTTGTGTTTTCAAACTACCGCACAACTGCCCCTGGCGTTCTGGTGCTGAACTAGGCCCAACTTGGCCATTTTCTCCTGTTTTTCCTTCCAACTGCTGAAATTGCATCTTAAAGATCCTCTATCCCCTCAGCCTGACCTACTGGGTGCCGGGTCTCATCATGAGAGCTCCCAAGTGTCCTAGCCCAGGTTTGTGAACCCATTGGTGTCACTTGCGGCAGCTCATCTTATGAGGAGAGCTCTATATCCCCATCAGCCTGACCTACTGGGTGCCGGGTTCATCATGAGAGCTCACCCAAGTGACCTACCAGGTTTGGGAACCCATTGGTGTCACTTGCGGCAGCTCATCTTATGAGGAGAGCTCTATATCCCCATCAGCCTGACCTACTGGGTGCCGGGTTTCATCATGAGAGCTCCCAAGTGACCTAGCCCAGGTTTGTGAACCCATTGGTGTCACTTGCGGCAGCTCATCTTATGAGGAGAGCTCTATATCCCCATCAGCCTGACCTACTGGGTGCCGGGTTTCAGCTACTCACACCAGAGACATACCATCTTCATGGGCCCCAACGTAGCCGGCAGAAGACTAACGCTTAGGACTGCATTCGGATGACTGTATCCCCTGAGGGCTGATCCATATTTGATATTAATTCGATTACCATAGGCCTAGGCTTAGTCTCTCATCATGAGAGCTCCCAAGTGACCTAGCCCAGGTTTGTGAACCCATTGGTGTCACTTGCGGCAGCTCCTCTTATGACGAGAGCTCTAGTTTACGCTGTTTGGGGGGTCGCAGGAAATTCCAGAATTTACAATCACTGTAAGGAACTCCGTGAATCTGGTCAGACATTCTGCTATTTCCCGTAGAGTTGGGAGTCCCATTCTTGTGGTGTCAGTGAGGTTGAGGCCTCAAACCAGGCTAGACCAGGAGCAGAGGAACCAAATCAACCAGCGACTCCAGCTCTAGTGAAGCTCCTTCGTGAACATCTTGTGGGAATCCCATCCTACCCAACGTCTGTTGGTGATGGAGCGTCCCCGTGGCCCCTACTGTTTAATGTTCACTGTCATGACTTCCTTGTCCCTGAAAGTGGCAGTTTGTTGGTTCGGGTTAATTGTTTGTTGACTTGTGTCTGTCCTCCCATGTAGATAAATGCCGGTCCCGGCCCTTTGTGACATCTTCCAGCCCCGTAATTACGCCGTCTCTGCTCAATTATCTTTAATTACGATGTGTCCTGGTATTATCTAGTGAGGTTTTCCTGAAGTCCCGGAGATGAGGAAGTGCCGGCCCAGCCCTGATTGGATGTTTGTGGACTTTTACGGCTGGAGTTGAACAAATTGTAAAAAAATAAATGTCCGTCAGCAGCTGATCTCCACAGTTTGGTCAAAAAAAACAAATATATAGTATTGAATATATTATCTGTCACTTCAGGTCCGGATGATCGAGGCGCTTCTCGTCCTCTTAGGACTTTGGGATAAAGTTGACCTTATTATATCTGGATCCGGACAATTACATTTCGGTGTGGAGCCTCAGTCCCGGAGTCCTTTGTTGTGGCTGCCAGCCCCAAAAATGTAGACATCCTAGTCAGATACCCCTATACCCCCCAACACTAGGGCTATCCTTCCAATCTCCTTCCTGATTCATGGTAGAGGCAGGACTCTGCTTCCTCATGTCAGAGCCTCCAGCAAGGAGAACATTGAGCAGAAAAGTTCAGTTGTTAGGTGGAGGTGGGATAGATTTACCTGAAGAGATGGGTTTTCGATCACAAAAAGGCAGACATGGTAAGAGATAGCTGGACAGATTGGGGTAGAGAGTTCCACAGGATAGGAGAGGCTCTGGAGAAGTCCTGGAAGCTAACATAGGAGGTGATGGAGGCTAGAGGGCAGGAGAACTGGGGGGAGTAGAGAGGACAGTTTGGGGTGATATTATGAGATGATGTTGGGGATCTGTGGATGACTTTGTATGTTGTATTTAAGAGTTTGAACTTTATTTACTGGGTGATAAGAAGCCAGTGGAGGGATTGTCAGAGAGGGGTGGAGGACACTGAATGGAGGCCAGTGGAGGGATTGGTGGAGAGGGGTGGGGGGACACTGAATGGAGGCCAGTGGAGGGATTGGCAGAGAGGGGGGGAGGACACTGAATGGAGGCCAGTGGAGGGATTGTCAGAGAGGGGTGGGGGGCACTGAATGGAGGCCAGTGGAGGGATTGGCAGAGAGGGGTGGGGGGGCACTGAATGGAGGCCAGTGGAGGGATTGTCAGAGAGGGGGTGGAGGGCACTGAATGGAGGCCAGTGCAGGAATTGGCAGAGAGGGGTGGGGGCACTGAATGGAGGCCAGTGGAGGGATTGGCAGAGAGGGGTGGAGGACACTGAGTGGAGGCCAGTGGAGGGATTGGCAGAGAGGGGTGGAGGACACTGAGTGGAGGCCAGTGGAGGGATTGGCAGAGAGGGGTGGAGGACACTGAGTGGAGGCCAGTGGAGGGATTGGCAGAGAGGGGTGGAGGACACTGAATGGAGGCCAGTGGAGGGATTGGCAGAGAGGGGTGGAGGACACTGAATGGAGGCCAGTGGAGGGATCGGCAGAGAGGGGTGGAGGACACTGAATGGAGGCCAGTGGAGGGATCGGCAGAGAGGGGTGGAGGACACGAAGTGGAGGCCAGTGGAGGGATTAGAGAGGGGTGGAGGACACTGAGTGGAGGCCAGTGGAGGGACCGGCAGAGAGGGGTGGAGGACACTGAGTGGAGGTCAGTGGATGGATTGGCAGAGAGAGGTGGAGGACACTGAGTGGAGGCCAGTGGAGGGATTGGCAGAGAGGGGTGGAGGACACTGAATGGAGGCCAGTGGAGGGATGGCAGAGAGGGGTGGAGGACACTGAGTGGAGGCCAGTGGAGGGATTGGCAGAGAGGGGTGGAGGACACTGAATGGGGGCCAGTGGAGGGATTGGCAGAGAGGGGTGGAGGACACTGAATGGAGGCCAGTTAGGACGTGGTGGTGTGACTTCCATACTGATAGGTCATTTAGTAATTTAGTGAAGGGGACGGCTGAGGAGAAGAGAGTTGGGAGCCATCAGCAGAGAGATGGTATTGGAATCCACGAGAGGTTGTCTACTGACCCGGAGATGTAGACAGGAGATAGAGTCTGAGGATGGAGCCTTGGGGGCCCCGACAGAAGGATGAGGTCGAGTTTAGGTGACATTGATGGAATGCTTAGCTAGGAGAACCAGTTGGATTCTTGGAGGCCGAGGGAGTGGGGGTTTTTTGGAGGAGAAGCTGGTGGTTGGCTGTGTTGAGGCCTCAGAAAGGTCCAATAGTCGGAGTGCTGAGTGCTGAGTGGAGGACATTGGATTTAGTGGTTAGGACGATATTGATGAGTGTAGAAGGACTCTTCAGTTTGTTGGAGGGAGGAGGTCCATCTTACATTGGTTCCCGTGGCTGGTGGACGTATTGAATTTACCTCGTGTGGTACAGCCTGGAAGGGGATGAAACATGTTAGGATGACCGCTCTGTACAAGGCAATGGAACCACACTGGCTCCCAGTGGCAGCTCCCAATGCCAGTCTGTTCTCTGGGCAGGAGATGGTGATGATTTCAGGTCATGATATGAGCAGCAGCATGTAAACGTGGCGGGTGAAACGACACGCCAGTCTCCAGCTCCTCCTTAGCAGTCACTGCAGGAACACGCCATTTCAGAATTTAATGAAGTGCTCGGCTAATGATGGGAATCGGGGAGTCATTATTCTGCAGAGAAATGACAGGTTAAGGTATTCCTGAACATCATTAACTAAGTAACAGGTACGTGAGCTTTGCGCACGCCGCGCTTTTGTTCGGATGATTCCGCCATCTGCGTTCCGGAGACAAGCGCTCCATGGGAGGACAGCCGGCGTTTATGGCTCTCAGAGTGCAGGAGCGGGATATGCAGATCCGACACAATTATAGTGGCATCCAGGGCGTCGTAGGGCTGCCGGATATCGGTGTTTGGGGTCAGAGAATCCACAGGTACAGTACTGGAAGAATCCGCTTCATTCACAGGATACGTGTGGTCCGCTTCATTCACAGAGAACACGTGCGCTCCGCTTCATTCACAGAGGAGACGTGCGGCCCGCTTCATTCACAGAGACAAACACGTGCGGCTCCGCTTCATTCACAGAGGACACGTGCGCTCCGCTTCATTCACAGAGGACACGTGCGATCCGCTTCATTCACAGAGACGTGCAGTTCCACTTCATTCACAGAGGACACGTGTGGTCCGCTTCATTCACAGAGAACACGTGCGCTCCGCTTCATTCACAGAGGACACGTGCGTCCGCTTCATTCACAGAGAACACGTGCGCTCCGCTTCATTCACAGAGGAGACGTGCGCTTTCCGCTTCATTCACAGAGGAGACGTGCAGTCCGCTTCATTCACAGAGGACACGTGTGGTCCGCTTCATTCACAGGACACGTGTGGTCCGCTTCATTCACAGAGGACACGTGCCGTCCACTTCACAGCGGATGTGCCGTCACCGAGCAGATTGACGTCACTGGGAGTGGATGCAACGTCACTGGGAGTGGATGTGATGTCCCCAGGAGTGGATGTGCGTCACTGGGATTCACGGGAGTGCGCTTGTGACGTCACAGAGGATGTGCCGTTACCAGGAGTGGATGTCCGTCACCGGGAACGGATGTGCTATCACCGGGAGTGGATGTGACGTCACCGGGAGTGGATGTGACGTCTCTGGGAGCGGATGTGCCGCACCGAGAGCGGATGTGCCGTCACCGGGAGCAGATGGACGTCACTGGGAGTGGATGCAACGTCACTGGGTGTGGATGTGACGTCCCCAGGATTCACTGGGAGTGGATGTGACGTCACGGGAGTGGATGTGACGTCACTTTGTTTACAGGAGTGGATGTGACGTCACGGGAACGGATGTGCTATCACCGGGAGTGGATTCACGTCACCAGATGTGACGTCACCGGGAACGGATGTGCTGTCCACTTCATTCACAGTGGACATGTGACGTCTCTGGGAGCGGATCATTCACGAGAGCGGATGTGACAGCAGATGTGACGTCACTGGGAGTGGATGTGACGTCCCGGGAGTGGATGTGACGTCACTGGGGAGTGGATGTGACGTCACGGGAGTGGATGTGCCGTTACCAAGAGTGGATGTGACGTCACCGGGAACGGATGTGCTATCACCGGGAGTGGATGTGACATCACCGGGAACAGATGTGACGTCACCGGGAGTGGATGTGACGTCACCGGGAGTGGATGTGACGTCACCGGGAACGGATGTGCTGTCACCGGGAGTGGGATGTGACGTCTCTGGGAGCGGATGTGCCGTCACGAGAGCGGAAGTGCCGTCACCGGGAGCAGATGTGACGTCACTGGGAGTGGATGTGACGTCCCCGGGAGTGGATGTGACGTCACTGGGAGTGGATGTGACGTCACCGGGAGTGGATGTGCCATTACCAGGAGTGGATGTGACATCACCGGGAAACAGATGTGACGTCACCGGGAGTGGATGTGACGTCACCGGAAGTGGATGTGACGTCACCGGGAACGGATGTGCTGTCACCGGGAGTGGATGTGACGTCTCTGGGAGCGGATGTGCCGTCACCGAGAGCGGATGTGCCGTCACCGGGAGCAGATGTGTGACATCACTGGGAGTGGATGTGACGTCCCGGGAGTGGATGTGACGTCACTGGGAGTGGATGTGCCGTTCCAGGAGTGGATGTGACGTCACCGGGAACGGATGTGCTATCACCGGGAGTGGATGTGACGTCACCGGGAGTGGATGTGACGTCACCGGGAACGGATGTGCTGTCACCGGGTAGGGAGTGGATGTGATGTCACTGGGAGTGGATGTGACGTCACTGGGAGCGGATGTGCTGTCACCGGGAGTGGATGTGATGTCACTGGGAGTGGATGTGCCGTTACCAGGAGTGGATGTGACGTCACCGGGAACGGATGTGCTATCACCGGGAGTGGATGTGACGTCACCGGAAGTGGATGTGACGTCACCGGGAACGGATGTGCTGTCACCGGGAGTGGATGTGACGTCTCTGGGAGCGGATGTGCCGTCACCGAGAGCGGATGTGCCGTCACCGGGAGCAGATGTGACACATCACTGGGAGTGGATGTGACGTCCCCGGGAGTGGATGTGACGTCACTGGGAGTGGATGTGCCGTTACCAGGAGTGGATGTGACGTCACCGGGAACGGATGTGTGCTATCACCGGGGAGTGGATGTGACGTCACCGGGAGTGGATGTGACGTCACCCGGGAACGGATGTGCTGTCACCGGGAGTGGATGTGATGTCACTGGGAGTGGATGTGACGTCACTGGGAGCGGATGTGCTGTCACCGGGAGTGGATGTGATGTCACTGGGAGTGGATGTGCCGTTACCAGGAGTGGATGTGACGTCACCGGGAACGGATGTGCTATCACCGGGAGTGGATGTGATGTCACCGGGAGTGGATGTGACGTCACCGGGAACGGATGTGCTGTCACCGGGAGTGGATGTGACGTCACTGGGAGTGGATGTGACGTCACTGGAAGCGGATGTGCCTGTCACCGGGAGTGGATGTGACGTCACCGGGAGTGGAGGAGGGTTGGAAACACAGCAGGCATTCAGGCTATGCGCTCAGAGCCTCTACAGGCATACAGAAGGAGCTAAATTCTTCGGCTGTTGGGTGCCGGCGCCGCCATCTTGACTCAGGGAAACCAGCAGTGAAGTCTTCAGTCCTCCTCGCCAGTTTCCCCCAAATTCACCAGTGACAGCTTATCAGGGGCATGTGGCCCCCCAATCTCTGAGCATTGATGTTAAGGTGCACAGATACCAGCAAGGGCCCCACCGCTCCTCTCCACCGATGGCCTCCAGAGACTCTGTTCATATGGGGGGAAGAGGCGGACAGGCAACCCCCCATCGCTGTACATCGGCTGTACTCACCGGCAGTCTGTAATGATGGCGCTATTCATTCCCAGTGTCCAGAGATCCCATTGGTGTGTATGGATGTGCGTGGTGACGTCACGGCATCTGGCCGTTTGCTAAAGACAAGGATGCCAACATGCAACCCCCATCCTCCGAGACGAGGCAGATCCTCCATCGCTGCAGGTGGAGCGGTTGTGCTGGCAGAGAAATGACCACTGATGACCTCGGTCCCGGACTTGGGGGGTTCCGCTGTACGGGTCATACGAGGCGATACTCTGAAGCATCATTTCTTTTTGCAGTTTCATGTGTTGAGATTCCGAGTATTAAACGTTGTTATGGACATGAGAAATGTTCCAGATACGTGTAATCTTGTAGATGACGCCATCCATATGCAGAGGTCTTCTCTTCTCCCTGAGGAAGGAGCGGCGTCGCTCCGAAACGCGTTGGTCAATTCGAATCGTATCTCTGCAGTAATGGTGATGCCATAATATATTCTTACTGGGAATCCTCATCATGTCATTTCATATTGTGGTTCTGATGCTGGGCTATGACTCTGAATGATGGATTGTATGTCTGTGTGTCATAACAATTATTGACAAATAAAAGTTTGTACTTTTTTAACCACTTCCTGTCCGGCCCATGTATATAAACGGCCATGCAGGGGCGGGTTGCTCTTTATAAATGGCCTCCCTGCCCCCTGGGAGCGCGCAGCACCGCAATCCGGTACCCACTGTGTCCTCCAGACACAGTTGAACACCAATCGTACGGATCCTCTGTGTGAGCTCCCGATCATGTGATCACTGATTGGCCAATCAGTGATCACATGCAGAGTAGTAAGCAAGATGTCACTTCTGACCTCATTGCTTACTACGTGTGAAATCTGTGAATGATCACAGAGGTCACATGGTACAGGGCTATTCACAACAGCCTTGTACCATGTGACAGCTGTGACCAATCACAGCTCACACAGTATTTCTCAATGGCTGCAGGAATGCAGCCAGAGAGAAGGAGAAATAATTGCTTTTACAGTCTTTACGGGTGTAAAAACAATCAGTGTAAAAAAAAAAC